TTGACAATCTTGCTGCAGAGCGAATAAGAGAAAAGGTGCTGCTTACTTTTTATATATATACAGCATCGAGTGGCAGACTAGCTATCGGTGAGCATGATGATGTATTGCTGGATCAGCCCAAGATGCCCAATGCCTTTTTCCACTCCAAGGACTGAAGCCTAAGACGAGGCCGAGTGCTGAGATGCTGTTAGAGGCTTTGCAGACGATTTGTCCGGAGATGAGCTGACACCACTCGTTGCAGATAAGCTTTGCCCCCATGTCAGCTGATCCGTCATAGATGTAGCAGGGAGCAGGCTTCCTTTGCGCAGCGAGTGGATTGCAGGTCTGCCGTTGTTTTGCACGAGCCAGGAAGGGCTTGAGACATTTTCTTTGTCCAGTCTGGTCAATACGGTGAAGTGGATAGCAAGCAAGATGGACAAGATGCTGTCAAACGTACACAGATTTGGCATGCTGGGATGCAACATCCATTTCACCACGTTTTGGAAGCTTGAGATAGATTTGGAAACATAGGAACTCAAAGAGTCGCTAATTCGTATCTTGCGCGGGGTGTGTCGCTACCCTCACGCCACCAAAGAGCCACGACACATTCGTGGCCCATGAATCTTCTCAGTTGACGAGTGGAATGCATGCAATTCTTGGGCCATGCAAGAGTCTGTGTCAATACTCAAACTGTTCATTTGCCAGCCATGCCTTAGGCATGGAAGGAGCAGTTCAGCTTCTGATCGAGACTTTCGTGAAACGATTGTCACAGTGGAGGAACAACCAAGAAGCCCAAGGTGTGCGAAGGAGAAAGATTGCGTGGGAGTCTAGAATTAAGATCCTTGAGCAGCGCACAGACATCTCGTTCAACGTTGTTGCAGCCTACCCAGGCGAGTCATCCTTTTTGTCAACGCCATTTCTTATGTGCAGAGGCTTTCGTCTGTCAGTTGCCCAGTCTGAACTACGAGCACTGGTATTCAAAAACAACAGGTGCTAGAGTCTCCACTATAAGTTCATATCGCAGTGGGTATATAGATATAGATACTAATTACGGAGGCTGCCGACCTCGGTCATGTGGATTTTACAAGTCAGGATTGTTGTCGCTACACATTGGTGAGTGCCAATAGTCTCTCATCCCAGAATCAGCTTTGCACCTGCGTATGATGGACTGTTGCAACTAGCGACTGAAGATACAGGGCATAGTAGCTGCCGCTTGTGCCTCGACTTTGACCACGTGAATCTGCAGTATTGTTTGATTATGCAAGGATGCCCTGTACGTTGCTGTAAACGGGCACAGATTGTGAGAGGCATCAGCGTTCTATCACGGTGGCGCCGTAGTGTTGGATCACGGTTGTCTCAGGAAACCTTTCTTCCAACCAGTCGAACTGCTCGAAGGATGTGTTGATAGAGTCTATCATTTCCATTATAACCAGGTACGATTTGCATTGTGTGATTGATTGTAGCTAAAGGCACTATAGTTTTGGTTGCTCAGAGACCCAGCAACCTTTAGAAAGGGCAGAGGGTTGACCTCGACCACAAAGCCGTACATGCATGTTTGCACAATTTTGCTTTTGCCAAGGTACTATCACTGCTATTGGAGAGTTCCAGTGCCAACAAGGCGCCAAATCTTAGAATTTGCTGTTGGTGAATGGCTATGACCCCTTTTTCTTTCTACTGGCACATAAACTTATTATATATAGTTAAATGTAGTTAAATACATAAATATATATTACGAAAGCCAGCCGATAGGCTAGTTTAGAGCGAACGAAGGGGGGGGGAGGTCGCGAAAAGGCACAATTTGAGAGGGCGAACCAGTGAAAATGATGTCTGGTGATGCGAGTGATGCAATGGACGCCGAGCAGTGCATCATCAGCATCATGAAGGGCTTCGGAGGCTATTTGGACAGTGGGCATTGAGCAATCGAGCGGAAACAGGGACCCACATACAGAGCAGACCGCCGCCGCGTGTAGGATTTGAGTTCCCAGGACAACCCGTAACTTGCGAAGTCCATAGAGAGCCGAAAGTGACATGAGTTCAAGTCCATGAATTTGGATTGAGCTTCGGTGGGGATGCCTGCGAGTTTGACTACATATCCGCATAGGGTCCTGGCCCCTAGCAAAAACTATACTTGCACCAGTCGAGTGGATGCTTCTCACGGCGTCCACACGCACCGAACGTTTTTTCCGGCTTGCCGGTACAGATAGATAGATAGATAGACAGACAGACAGACAGACAGACAGATAGATAGATAGATACATAGATAGATAGATAGAGAGATAGAGATAGAGATAGAGAGATATATACATATATATATTTTTATTTATATTACTTTTTTGTTGCTGGCAGCCCTGGCCGCAGCCTGGGTCCACGGCCCAATGATCTACACACGCAGGTGCCAAAGTCAAGGCGTCTGAGTGAGAAAAGCGCAGAGTTGATAAGAAAGAGAACAATAAAGAAGGTGTTTGGATCGTTTAATACAGGCCCCTTTAAAGGAATAAAGGCTGTGTTTTGGATCGAGCCAGGACATGCCTCACTCAAGTCCAGGCATGTGCATCGATAGGCGCACAAATCCTCACTCCTTTGCTAGCCCACTACTCCCGCGCGACCTCCCCTTCTGCGCCGCGGGATCAAACGTCCGTGTCCCGGCTAAGACGTGCCCGTTCACTCTTCCAAATCAACGAACGCCGCTTTTTTCAACGCGCCGAGTATGCGTTGCAAACTTCAAACACTCCAAATGTAACAAACACATTTGCTTCTTTTCAACCCCACGCCATACTGGCGCGTGCGCGCGGCGACGCTGACTATGGAGAAGGTCTTCCTGCGCGGGCGCGGCGCGCGCGCGCACGTGGTATCCCACCACTCGAACTTAGAGGGAATTTGCCTTCGCTGACGCTGATGTCGCCTTCCAACTTCTATAAGACGCATACCCTCCTGCGCGTGACAAACACATGCCACTGCCTTGTGATGATGACCTACACCAATATACAACGTATCGCGCTTCTCTTTCACTACTTCTTTCATACCAAACTCATCCCAAAGCCGCCCGGCTTGCTTCTCTGCTCCCTCCGTCACCATTACATACGCCCCCCGCATCTGCAGCGCCGCTGACTCGCAAGCTGCCGACCATGTGTCTTGTGCCGCGACGCCCGCTTTCGTTGCCCCCCTTCTCAGGTATATACATAGAGATCTTAATAAGACTTGTTTCTGCAGTGAATTGAGAGCCTTTCCCACTTGAGCCTTTTTATCAGAGCATGGGACGGCCACCCTACAGTCTCAAATTGAGCAGGCTTGCGCATTGAAGAGTTTTAACATGGGCTTCATGCCAACTGAAGATTTGTTAACGTAAAAACTGACAATCTTCGAACTCTGCAAGCTCTTCTTGCAGATTCATCAATGCCACAAGAAGTCCATCCATCATCAGCTTGTGGGCGTCATGCCTGTGACTGTCCTTTTCTGATGGGTGCTGGTTGACAACTCATTCTGCTTGTCGCTGATTGTCGCTGGAAAGGATGTTAGAGGTATAAGCCACGCGAGACAGGTTGCTGGTTGATGTATCCTGTTAGAAGACAGTTTGGTCGGTTGAAAGCAGGGTGCGAGCGCCATTGTGCCAAGAGTACTTGTTCAGGGGACGGTTGCGCGTTGGAAACCGGTCCTAGTGCCAACCCACTGCTGACTGGTGCCCACGACTCAGATTGACTGCTACCACAACTACCGCCACTAGCACCACTGCTGCCACTGCAACTACCACGGCCACTACCACGACACTTCTCCTACTTTGCCGCTCTCGCTAGCCTATATACTACTTTTTTGCTCGTTCTGCTGCTGATACACCACCACCATCATGACTAGCAACCAGGTCGACCACTACTACTCTTGCTGCTGCTGCTGCGGCTGTGCTACTTGTACCAGTTCTAGTACTAGTACTAGTGCTGCTGTTACTAGCACGCTGGCGACGCTGGCGACGCCGCGGCCACGACTAATTTCGCCCACTGCTATCACGATGTCTACTGAACTAAGCTTTCCTGCGTGCTGTTGACGATGACATGCTTGGATTGTTTGTTTTGGGCGTTCCTACAGCTGGCACTGGAGGTCCTTGCGCGAATAAAGATGTCCAACCCAGGCCTGTTGCTTAGAGATAGTCAAGTGTTAGCTCTCAACGTCATAATGTGACGGGAGCTTAAAAACTGCAGTATCCGCTTAGTGACCCAGTGACAACCACCTGACCAGCTGATTTGTATTCTCAACAGCATGCTTGTGATTCTGACGTTTCGACAATTGGAGTGCCTTTGGTTTTTTCGCATTAACCCTCTTCAAATCCGAGGTAACCAAGGAGCCCCGCCGGGCCTCAGTGTAGATGTTCTTGATCTCCACTCCAAGATGCGGCAAAAGGTGCGGGTGGTTGTGTTGAGAGGTAAACAAACAAGCAGGGAACTCAGAGACAGAGAGAGACAGAGAGAGAGAGAGAGAGAGGCAGAGAGAGAGAGAGAGAGAGAGGCCGAGAGAGAGGCAGAGAGAGAGACAGAGAGAGAGAGAGAGAAAGACAGAGAGAGAGAGAGAGACAGAGAGACAGAGAGAGAGAGAGAGACGGAGGGAGGGAGAGAGAGAGAGAGAGAGAGACAGAGAGAGAGGCAGAGAGAGAGAGAGAGACAGAGAGAGAGAGAGAGAGAGAGACAGAGAGAGAGAGAGAGAGACAAATTTGTTTTGTGCACTTCCAGGACCGTTTGAAGCGCATTGAGAGGTTCCGGAAGCTGAAGGCCCTCCTTGAAAGCCGGCTCTACCAAAGAAACACATGCACAGTTTTTGTTGAGGTCTTGCTTCACTGTAGAGAGCCACGAACTGTTCAGGATGCCGTGCTTGTTTGCACTGACATTGCTGCACGAGGTCTTGCTTTGACTTGCTATGCCGTTTGCTGTCTCATGATGCAGTCAAGCTTTGAGGGGGGCCTTTTCAGTCTGTGCCAGCAACTAGCACCACGAAAGGGCAAGGCAACCTGTCACTGGAAGCTTTCTCGTTTCTCTCTCCAGGACTTGATGTGCCAGACGTCTCGGCTGTGATTCACTTTCAGGCTCCAATGAAGGGGGGCTTCTGGGTTCGGAATGAGCTGCCCGGCCCCCCCTTTCTTGTACTCGCAGAATGCTTTTGGCTCAGAACGAATTGCCACTCTTTCTGAAACGTTTCTGTGTTGCAATGTTGCACGATTTGGTGTGGCAGCAGGCTCCACGCGGATCGGAGATTTTTGTGCACCGCAGCGGCAGGACTGCGCGAGCAGGCCGCGGAGGAGCGGGTTGGGTGCTGAGGGTGCTTCTCCATCAGATTGGACATGGGCCATGCCATCATGAATGTCCTTCCCGTTTAGAAACGCAATCAGACATACATAAAATAAGCTATATATAGAGAGAGAGAGCGCCTGTTACATCCATCACAGTGACCTTGGAACATGTGGAGCGGATCGCAACACTGATTTTCTTTGTTGGAAAGGAACAAAAAGAGTATGTTTTTGTGTTTCGCAGTAGTCGACCAAACATACGGATGCACTCTTGTTTACTTCAGAACCGTACGGATTTGTTGTTTCTCCACTGGCAAATCCTTTTCGAGCGGATGGCTCTGTTGTATAAAGCGCACATCAGTCAGTACATCGATGTCAATTCAGCCTATGTGACAATCTCCTTTGAGGGACTCGCGTGTGAAATCGAGCGGGTCACTGCAAGAGGACAAAGTATTGCCTTCGTGAGCCCGTCGGATGTGACTCACTGGAATAAGGCTCTTGGAACGCGTCGGATGTGTCCGATCCTTTGAGCAGAATTGATGACTTGGCAGGTCTACAAGTCGATCGGGATTGCCAAGGACAAACGGAAGCAAGCTTTGAGTTCCAGCATTGCCACTTCGCACAGGAGGAAGTAGAAAAGCTCGAGCTTTTCCCAGAAGAGATCTCAGCTGCAAAAGAGGCCACAGCGGAAAAAACCTCAGAGACGTTGAAGAACCCGAGCTTTTGGCTTTTCTTCCGCATCCTTACTGACATCTACTGCTCAGTTACCAGCAGTATAGACATGTATAGACAGAAGACTCACTACCCTTGGCCCCCCCTACATCCTCTTAGACTCTCACACCATTTTTGTCTCACTTTGGCCTCTCGTCCGAAGGCGTCTCGGCTGGCTGCTGATCTTGAAAAGAAGGCCCGAGAGCACTGCAGACCCCTGCAGAGACCAGTATTGGTGGCTTTGACATTGACCATTACCAGCTTTGCAGGTCCACCAGACTGCCAAGCAATCCAATGAAAATAATTGGCTGAAGAAAGCAGCCCAAGAGGCCTGCTGAGCTGTTCACGCAAGAAGAGGGCTTGATGTTACACGCGACGTGACATGTGTGTGTGGGTACCCCTTGGAGTCACAGGGATCCTTTTGGATTTGTGATTTCTTTACGTTTTTGTTGTTTCAGCCGGGGGCCGCCGCGGCCGCTGTGCGGGAGAGAGCGGAACCCGTCGGTCGGAGTGGGGAACCGGTAAATCATTTGCTTGAGGGAGTTTGACCGAGCGAGTCGAAGGGAAGTCACTGCCTGTGGCTTACCAAAAAGTGATTCTGCATTGACCATTTACGGCCTGGATTTAGGGAAGCACTCAACTTGTTCTTTACTGCAGGGGCGTGTGGCACTCTCACCCTACCACACGCAACGAAGCTGTGGGCGAGAGTGGGAAGCAGGGCCTGATCAGCCCTGTGTACCTGCGAGTGACAACACTCTCCTCTTCTCTGCTGTTCTTTGTTTTCATAGTGAGTCCTGATATTCCCCAAAGCTCTTCCCCAAAGACTGCAGCCGCTAGCTAATTTGAACTTTTACTGAATTCCGCAGTCACGCACGACCGCCGTCCGCCGGTCGTTTCGTCGATTCGGGCTTTTGTGCTTTTGGCCTCCTCTTCGTTTGAAGATGTCCAGGATTCACAGGTTTCAATCTGGTCCCTTAGGTTGCCGCGTGACGAGTGGCATTCACACCCGTACGCAGTCTCCTCGTGAGAGCCCAGGGTGAGCCCGAAGAGTGCCCCCTGTGGACCCGTCGAACGGGGGTTTGTCTTTATCTCCCTTGCCCGGAGATGTACGTGTCCAGAGCACAGCAGGAGGCTTACGCCAAAGTTACTTGCCAAGACCTGACGGATTATTGAGGTCCAAGTAGGCAGACTTCGGACAAGCCATTAGGTGACCGCAGCGGTCAGAGCAGCCAGCCATTTTGGCACGGCGTACGTGGCCGCAGCGGCCAAAGCTACTTAACGTTCATTGGAACCTGTCGGGGGCCTTAATCCTCTTTCCTCCCTGTCCCTCTCCCCTCTTCCTTCTTTGCAATTTTTTGGGTGTGTTCCTGGATGCAACGCTCAGGTACAACCCCTTGTTTCAGCAGGGGGCCGCCGCGGCCGCTGTGCGGGAGAGAGCGGAACCCGTCGGTCGGAGTGGGGAACCGGTAAATCATTTGCTTGAGGGAGTTTGACCGAACGAGTCAAAGGGAAGTCACTGCCTGTGGCTTACCAAAAAGTGATTCTGCATTGAATTTAGGGAGGCACCCAACTTGTTTTTTGCTGCAGGGGCGTGGGGCACTCTCACCCTACCACACGCAACGAAGCTGTGGGCGAGTGTGGGAAGCAGGGCCTGATCAGCCCTGTGTACCTGCGAGTGATAACACTCTCCTGTTCTTTGTTTTCATGGTGAGTCATGATAATTCCCCAAAACCCTTCTCCAAAGATTGCAGCCGCTAATTTGAACTTTTACTGAAATCCGCAGTCAGGCACGACCGCCGTCAGCCGGTCGTTTCGTCGATTCGGGCATTTGCGCTTTTGGCCTCCTCTTCGTTAGAAGACCTCCAGGATTCACAGGTTTCTATGTTCCTCTCAGGAATCTGGTCCCTTACGTTGCCGTGTGGCGAGTGGCATTCACATCCGTACGCAATTCAATAAGTCTGTGTGTTTGTGGGGCGACCATATTGCAAACCAAGTGGTTTGTGACGCAATGAACAATGCCGCTGTACATTGTTTGGGGTGGCCAAAAACTGCACATGCTGAAGGGTTTTGCCAGGCAGATCTCCTGCTAGAGGAAGACGATGACACCGCTGAAATGGGAAAGCAGAAGGTCCTGCTGGCACTTGCACGTGCCTTACCAGTCTGAGACTTTGTTCTTTGTTCAAAATAGACCAGTCTCTTTTGTCCCCAACAGTTTACTGTTGGGGTCCTGTGCTAGGAAAAAGGGTTGGCCATGATAGCCGGGCTGCGCCGTCCACCCTTCCTTCACTGCCTTGTCCTGGCCTTGTCCAGGCTTGTTGGGGCCCTTTCTTCTCTGCTTTGGCCTTGTCAGCCCTCTTATATATCACTCCTGCTTGGCCTCGCCATTTCCCTTTCTCCACCGCCTTGTCCGGGTGGTTTTGAATTTTTGTGGCTACGAATGCAGCAGTGATGCGTTTTAAATTTGATATCATCCAGTTTTCAAGAAATCGCCTTTGGCTTACGTATGTGTACATGCGTTCTCAAGCAGTTGAAGGCTATAGGCTATAGGAAAATATATAGAGATGTTTCCACCGACATTTGACTTCCAGGAGCTGACACAAAGAGACCTGCTGAAACTGTTGCCGACGATGATGCTGGTATATATAGTGTTGTTTTTGCTGGAATCCGCCAAGTGTAGCACCAAACTTACATTGTGGCATATGGTTGTGGTTGGTCCTGCTCCAATTGCAGGCCGCATTCTTCTGTTTTGTCGATTGTGAGGATTTACGTACTGTTTTGTCGATTGCGTGTCAAGGTTGACATCGTTTCTGGAAGATTTCAAGCCAGGCTCCTCACCGTGCCCTTTGGGGTCTCTTTCAGCAGATGCAGGACGGTAGCTTCAAAGAAGCAGTGCGTAGCTTCAAAGCAAAGGCTTTGCAAGGTTGTCCACCTTGGGACTCCCGCATGACAGAAGGACGCACCTTAAACAAGAGATGAAAGAGATAAGCCTCTTGAGCCTCCTGACCATCTTTTGGTTCATCTCTTTTGTAGACCATTCATTTTCGATTCAAAACACAGCTGACCTTGGTCCCGCATAGGTGCGGAGTTGACCTTTGGATGCCAGGAACGTTTGCGGCGGCCACCTCGGCCTTCTGGAGCCGTGCGGCTTTCCAAGAAGCAGCGCATGAAAGTGATACGGCGTGGCCGGTGAGGCCAGCTTAAAGATCTCCTTTGAACATTGGAAGCTAGTGAAGCTAGCAGGTTTTGCACAATTGAAAAAGCAATGTGCAAGGAACATGAACACTTGATTTGGCTGAAGAACATTTTGTCCTGCTTGTTGAGTGAACAAATCCGACCTTGATGTTTTTTTTTGTCCGGTTCCTTTGATTCAGGAAGTGCATCAGTGCAAATTCCTTTCCTGTTCCTTGACAATTTCCCCTTGCTCAAGCTGCTTCTGGCTGGACTTGCTGCTCCTTTGCTTGGCCATTTCTCCATGGAGGGGAGAGAGGATCTTTTGAAAGTCTTCCAAGCCAATGACCTTGGCACTGGCTTCATTCCCCAGATCTTGTTGCGCGATGTTCTGGTGAAGGCAGGTTGCTCGGCAATCTGTGTGGAACAGCTTTTTGCCCTCGCAGGTGTAACAGGAGATAGCCCTGTGCCTTACTCGAACATCGTGGATTGGTTGTGGTCAGTGGACACGAAGGCACCTGGCGCTTCCATGACTCCACTGCCCCTCACAGCTGCACCTGCAGATGGGCAAGCTGAGTTGGCCTTGCAGACCCTAGTGCTTCTCACGGCTGCAGCATCCTGGCAGCTCAAAGGCTCTAGGGGTGAAATGCGAGTGGAAGAGGTACCCTCGACGCCTGAGGCGTGCTTGGGCTTTTCCGTGCTCTGCGCGAAGGAACAGCCACTTAGCGAATCTGCTGCATTGGCATCAGCACTGTCTGAGAGAGTGAAGGGGCTTATCCAAAGTTCTTCCGTTGAGTTGGCCGTTTTGTCGAAGGAGGAGGCCCTGCAACTTCTTGCAGAGAACTTCACTGGATGCGCTGCTTTTGCCGAGTCCATTGAGAGTGGCTCGTTGGGGCTTCACATGGTTCGCTTTCCAAATGGCAATGTCTTCCGCACAGTGGCGGCACAGCCTGTGGCGCTCCCCAGCTCGCTGAGAGGTGTGCCCTGGGAGATTCGCTCGACACAAAAGGCCGGTTACTTCCAAATCGTTGGGCCTACGGTGGCTTTGGATGCTTTGGTGCCTGGCCGCTTTGGAAAGCTTGGAGATGCACTGCCTTTGCAAGTTGGTGTGCAGGAGTGCAATGATGCGGCTGCAGCTGGCCACCAGACAAACATGGCTCTGCAGGCTGAGACCCTGCAGAACAATACTTTGGCTGAGCTTAGTAGCCGCATTGCAGCCGCAGCAAGGGAGAAGTCTTGTGCCGTTGTAGTGGCAGGGCCATCTTCAAGTGGCAAGACCACTTTCAGTGCACGTTTGGCCTTGCATCTCCAAGCACGTGGCATCGAAGCGACGCCTTTGGAGTGTGACATGTATTTCAAAGCACGTGCGGATCCCACACATCCACGAGATGCAAAGGGAGAGCTTAACTTTGAAGATCCTGAGTCTCTCCGCATTGAAAAAATCAAGGGAGACTTGGAGGCACTGTTGGCTGGAAAGCCAGTAGAGCTGCCCAAGTTCTGCTTCAAGACTGGGACGATCCAGGAGAAGACCGGTAATGTCCTGCAGCTGCCAAAGCAAGCTGTACTCGTGATTGAAGGGATCTTTGGGTTGCATCCCAAATTCCTGGCAGCATTCGGCAATGTCTCCCTCTTCAAAGTGCTCATTGGACCTTGGTCCGGTGCCCGCTTAGGAAACTTGTGCATCATGCCGGAGAGGAAGTTTCGCCTGTTGCGGCGCATTGGTCGAGATGTGCGCTCACGGGGCGTTGATGCAGCCCGAGTCATGCAGAAGTTCACTTCAGTCTCAGCCGGAGAGCAGCTGAACATTTTCCCCTTCGCGTAACTTGGACGCAAACAGTACTAAGACTATACCCCCAAAAAAAATGCGCGAACAGCTTGTTTGTACTTTGTGTGTGTGATCCTGCACTAGCAATCTTCAATCTTGTAGAGATATGTAGAGTTTAACCTTTGCCCGAGTAAGGCAAAGCGCGGATGTGATTTTCGACTCCACGCTGCATTACGAGATTCCTGCCCTACGGGCTGTGGTGGGCACTGATGTTGAGAACGCTCAAAGTGATGATGCAGATGTGCAATGGCGCAAAAGAGAGTTGGCCAACTATTTGAGCTGGGCCACTCCATGGGAGACCTCGAAGTACACGTTGCTACCCACCAGCATTGCTTGTGAATTCCTTGGCAGCTCAATTTTTGAGTAGGAGTAGGAGCAATTTCGGATGCGAACGCCAAAGGCGACCTTGCATACCGCTTCTTATCGATGGAGTTGCTGTTCGAACAGCGTGCTCGTTGCATGCGTTGGCTTTGTTGCTCGCTGTTTTGGACATTTGCTCCAGCTGGTTGTTGAATTATATATGTCACGCCATTTGAGTCAGAGTGAAAATCCTGTGCGTTCAGAGTCTGCTGTGAAGAAATGGGAGCCAAGTCAGTGAAGATGACATGAGCAAGGAGCATTTCTGCATTTGCTTCTGTGCTTTGTTAGGTTTCCTTGTTCTGGGCGACCAAGACTTAGCAACAGCAAGATGTTGCAACAAGAAAAGGCTGTGAGGCATTTGATTTTGGAGCTTTCCCTCATTTGGAAGGTTTATAATCTATATCACATTTGGACAGTCTGTATGATTATGCTTTAAGAAGCCTGGAAAGGACATGACAACATTTTGAGCACTTGTTTCATGGTGTGGCCGCTGCTCTTTTGGCAACGCAAGATGGATTGCGAATGCAAGCAATGTCACGCAAGCTCGAGGGGAGATAAAACAATACTTTGCAGCTCCGTAGAATCCTCTTGTGTCCTATAGCAGAGGGAAGATACCATAGTGATCCAACCTTAGCCGCAAATGTGGTCCAACTGTGGGCACTGCGTCACTCACTCATGAAACTTACTGAAAGCGTGTGAAAGGACTCCTGACAGGACCGTGCTACCATGTGCTACCTGTCTATATGCAAGTCACAAGTCATCATAAGAGTCCAAGAAGCTCTGCTTAGGTCTGCCCTAGGCCCTAGGTCTTTCATAAGCTGCAGAGCTGTTGTAGCGATGTTGCGATGGGCGCTTTTGATTTTCACATCCGTTGAGGCGAGCGGGGCCTGGTCGGTTTTGTTGTATGCTTTTCTCTTTTTGGCTTATGAGTGGTTTTGCTTGTGTGTATACTGCAACGGTAATACCATGTAATAGCATGCAAGATGAACGGGATGAATGCCCGAAGACAAGCAAGGGCAAGAAATGACATGACATGACATGATTGATCACAAAGTTGATAATGCACTCAATGATTCACGGCTACCCGAACAAAACAGCCGAGCCAAAGAGCGTGTCGCAGAATCAGAAAAAGGACAATGCCCAGGAAGCAAGCACACTGATCAGCAGCGATTGCTACATGGCAACATGACAATAAGCAAGATCCAGACTGGCAACTGCACTGATCAAAGTATACGCCGCCTGTTGCTGCTTTCATTCATCAGCAGGAGTGATAACATGATGACAGTATATACAGTAACAGACAACTGGGCTGGGCATCACCACGCTACGCTCTGTGTTCTTTGTGCAAGTGCTGGCTCTTTAGGATAGGATGCTGGTTTCTCCCGGCTCCGTGTTGAATAGGTTGTGCCTGATTGTTCTATTTCCTCCCAGAATACAAACAGGGTCATGTTTCGCTACTAAATAGGTGGGAGTATGAGCCCTTCGCTCCACGAGCCCCGATTTGTTGTTGTACAAGGTGCTTGCGCTTGATGGCGATGGTTCGACCAAGGCGTGAAGATACTGGATCGAAGTTGCCATTGTACTTTTCCCTTTCACGCGATCATGATAGCAGAGCGTGCAAACACACAAGCACAAAGTGAGAAGCTACCTTGCTGACAGGTGCAGGGGAGAGGGGGAAGAGGCATAAGGAAGCAATACTGTAAATGACCGACAGCCTGATCATGATGGCTTGCGGCCGAAACCTGTACAGCATGCTTTCAACAATGTGAGCATTCTGATGGTGGCCACCGAACATGAACTTCCCGGTCTTGCACCTCTACTTTGACAGGCTAATGTGGCAAGGTTTCCTCAAGCCGAGCTGATCGATGGCTGCTTTTACAAGAACGCAAGGTGGAAGGGCTTAAGCATAGATATTGTGTCAAGGGCAAATTTAGTAGGGTAGTTATTGATTTGCTCAATGGCAGAGCGGGGACTTGCTCAAGAGTGCTTCGGAAGGCACTGTGGTTGCTTTGAGTGCAGAGGTACTTCTCGCCGTTTTCACAACGAACTAATGCAACAACCATTTACGAATGTCAAAAGAAATGTGCCGGGAGCCCAAGGGATTGCAGTATGCACTGTACATGTCAAGACTGCTGTTCAAACTTTTTAATCGAGAGATATTGAGAGGTTATATAATATATATATATATACTAATATCAACAATAGAATGTAGGGGGAGTGATAGAGAAACCGTCAAGGTTTCCACTCAAGTTGCTTAAAGACTCAAGGTAGAAAGGCACCTTGTTGATGGCGCTTGTGGCTGAGGTCTCAACCTCGGAGATCAAGTGTTTGTATTTTGGTTTTTGGCCATCGACGGGTGTTTGCTATTTGGCGCCTGCTGATGCAGTCATTGCCTCGGACTTGCAAGCAAGGAGATCAAGTTGCAAAAAAGTCACCATGTCATGTCATTTTGTTCAACAAACTTATTGTGTCTGGAAGTGTCTTTTGCTTTCAACCTAGAGGTTTGAAGAGGCAAACAGAATCGTTGCCTTATACATACTGTACATGTAAACAGGTAACAGAGAAAGACTCGCTGACCATCGGACCTTGTGCAAAAGCGCAGGTCATCTCATGCCACGGTGAATGGTCTTGGACAAAACTACCCCTTTCTGCTACTACCAAAAAGAACACTGTCTGGGCGTTAATGGCATCACTGCATCTATATAATATACTGTATAGTTCTTTCAGCAAGACTACCCCGTGCTACTGCTGCACTGCTTGCAGAAAGGTGCACTGGCACAGATGGCGAGGAAGGGGCTGTTGATCCCTCAACATCTGAACAACAACTAGCAACTAAAGCTTCAGTACCACACTCTGCACTAACAAAAGAAAGAGACAGGAATCAGAAAAGACTAAGTTTTGAGGCGTTTTCATGTTTGAAGCTCACAGGTCCCCAGAACTGCTCACAGGCTGAGGCTTTGTGGCTTTGGCTACCCTTCAGGTCGGGCCTCATTCGAAAACAACAAGATCGAAAAAACACATGTGAGGATCAACAAAGCATCTTGAAGGAACGTTCACAGGCCAAAGCAATGAATTGGCATGGACATCTGCAGAGGCAGAGAAACTGTCAGGTAGACAGACACCAACAAAAACCCAAGGAAAGCATGCTCAAATTTTCAAACGCCAGGCTCGAAAGAAGACTGACAACGGACCGTGGTGCAAGACCATCACAGGCTGCACACACGGAGTAATACCTGAGTCAAATACCAGAGGGCCCATTTGACAGACCCAACAGGGTTTGGCAGTTTGGCCTGATATGGCTACTAGTAACAAGTGCATTACTACTATAGTAGCAAGAAGCTACTAATAGCTATTTGTTACCAGTAGTAATGGCCTCCAACCTACTAGCGATGGCCTCCAACCTGTTGGGGGTTGAAAGTGCCGGTGCAGAAATGCACAAATCAAGAAGTGTACCAAGTTTGAGTTTAGGAGCGACAGTGCACAAATCAAGAAGTGTACGACCGGAGCCCTTTTTGAAGCGAGAAAGTCCGCTACTTGCGGCCGTGCCGGTTATGAGCCCAAACTCCCGTTAGGAAGTCCACCTCCCTTTTGGGGGTAGCTGGCCGCCATGGGCAGCGGCACGCCGGATGGATCGGGTGACTCGATGGCGAGCGCCCGTGAGGAAGAGCAGCTGGCTCTGATGGACCGCAAATCCACCGGGTTGGAGGTGGTCCCAGCTGCGCCGTCGGGGAGACCTACGACCTATGGGCCCGAGAGAACCCGGGAAGAGTCAAGGAAGAAGGATGGGAAAGGCCAGGGGGGTGCCCCATTGGTCGAGGTCAACCCGTTTTGGAGCCAGACCCTGAAGGACGAGGTGATGTTGAGGGCAATGCGCGCCACTTCATTGCCGTCGGCGCCGACGGCATCTTCCACGGCGGAGCCATCCATGGCGGAGGACATGGGAATGGACATGAGGGAGAACCTATTCTTGGAGTACGAGGAGACTGGAAGGCCGGCCCTGGGACAGATCAAGACCCCGGAAGAAGAGGGAGCCCCAGGTGCAGAGGATGTGGCACGAGCACAGAAGGAAACCGCAGAGCTCCTGTGGGTGGCTGGGAGAACAAGGCCGGACATCAGCATGGCTGTCAACACTGTGTGCCAGTGGACGACGAAGAGACCAAAGGGGGCTGCGGCCATTGGGAGGCAGAGCCTCACCTGAGAGAAACCAGGGACGATGGACTTGTCATCAGGGGACTGAAGGAGGGGAAACGATCCGAGACAAGCTGAAGAGAGTTGATGTGTACTCGGATGCTTCGTACGCATCATCGGAACTCAGAAGCCTTACCGGGATCGTGGCCAGCATCGATGGGACCCCAATCATGTGGCAGACCTCACGGCAAGCATTTGTCACTTTGTCGACAGCAGAGGCCGAGCTGATGTCCCTCTTGGAGAGCCTGGTCGTGGCGAGATCGATTGGGGCTCTACTGGAAGCCGTGTTTGGAGGAGAAGTTGAACTGCGGCTGAACTCCGACTCTACAGCTGCCATAGCCATCGCGGCTGGAACGACATCGTCATGGCGAACCAGACACTTGAGGATCAGAGCAGCTGGACTGGCTGAGGCATTGAGAGCCAAGGAGGTGTCCCTGAGTCATGTGTCGGGAAAGAGTTGGTAGCTGATGGGATGACCAAGCAGCTGACGGGTCAACCATTGAAGAACTTCAAGAAGTCCCTTGAGATGACCAAGGTCGGCGAGGACATCACGATCGACATGAAGAAGATCGACTTGGGAGGTGGGACTCCAGACCCACGTTTGACTCGAGGACTTGGAGTTCTGGTGGCAGCAGCCAGCATGTTTACGCGGGCACCTCGAGCGAGGGAGGAAGTAGCGAGTGGTGGATCGTGGTCCTCATCACAGCGGCCATTGCGATCATCGGGGACATTGTGTTCAGGATGGGAACCGCTGGAGTTCAGAGGTGGTTCACTCCGAAGGAGAAGCTCAAGGTGAAGCTCCTATCGCCGGAGGCCAAG